TTGTTTCATCCATAGTTACAGAAATTCTATGATTAGATAACTCATTCATTAACTTATTTTTTGCTGATTCAAAAACAGCTGGAAGATATCTTTCGCGTAATTGGTTTGCATTAACAACAGCTCCTCCTTTAATTTTTAATTATTAATGTTAATATAAATATTTAAAACTAAAAAACAAATATACTGTAGATAAAAAATCTTACCATTGTTGCAATAGTTTAAAAAAAAAGGTTTAAGTTTCTCGATTTTTTCAAGTGGAATATCAGCTTTGGTAAATGCTTCAACAAGATGTACATTAATTTCTTGTTTTTCTGATCTAATTTGATAAATACTTGGTATGGTTGTTTGTAAAGCTTCAACACCATTTTTCCTTTTTAAATGAGTTGGTGAGTTTATATGAGCTTCTACAACAGACTTGCGTTCATGTTTAACTACATGATTGCAAAATTTACAGTATAATTTTTTATTTTCTAGACGAAAATGTATTTGAAAATTTGAATCTTTCGATAATCGCTCAGATGCCGTAACCATTTTGTAAAAAAAAAGATGCAGATGATCGATTAAGATTTATTCCTTAAATGGTAAATACAATAAAATACAATTAAGGTCACGTGAAATATGCAAAAAATGATAAAATTGCCTCAAAAGTGCGATGCATGTGTTATGCGAAATTATAGTGTATAAATGCAAAATTATGCAAATGCTCGAATCCATGGGCTCTATAATATAATAATTAAAAAAAAATTTTTTTTTTTACCAGCATTTCCTCTTATTTTTACACTTGGAGGATTTTTCAATTTTTTTTTGTAATTACATTTTCTATTAAAACTTTATTGCCTCGGCAATATTAGTTTGATATCTAATACAATAAATGCTTAGGTTTCTCTGAAAATTTCTTTTTCATCATCGGCTATGAGTTTTTTTAACATTTATTATCTTTGCTGGAATTCAATTTTAAAATTTTCAAATATTTTACTTCTTTTTTCCGAAGCCTTCACATTTTTTATAAATTATTTGTGAATTTTATTTACTAAATAGATAAAGCAAATGAAAAAAAGACTTAAATCAACCGGGTTTGATTCCAAAACTACCAAGATAAAGTTGGATAGGCCAATTTGATAACAAATTTACTTGAAATATTATAATGGAATTAATGGATTATCTTTCTGTTCATGGATAAATAGATTTCTGGATCAGTATTTTTTTGCTATTTTTTGTGATTTTTTGCGTAGACAGGACCAGTTCATAAACATGCTCTATCTTTTGGTACAAGTTAATAAAAGTATCAAGTGTATTATTTCTGAACGTGTAGTGAGCATAGAATCTACAGCTAATAAGTTTTGTGACCATTTTGATGCTGTTACAGCAGGATAATATAATAATAGAGAGATGCAAGTTTTTGTTAGAAGAGAAAAGTCTGAAAGTTGACGTGAAGTTGATAATAGATTAAATGATAACCTAAAAATGTTGGAGGTTTTGGAATTTTTGTAAGTTAAATTTTGTCTTATTTCTGAGACAAATATAAATACATCAGATACATTAATGTCAACTCAAAAAAGGCCAAATGCTTTTAACATTTTAATGGAAAATTCAAGTCGACCTTTACTTCCCCAACATATATAATTGTAATCGTCTTTATAATGAAATTATTGAACTTTTTGAAGACCGGAAAGTCAGCTGAACAGGTGGCTCACATGATACAATTAAAAAAGACTTTGTAAATCGTCTCACAAATGCCCTTTGGTATATTGATCCACACTTTTCTACATTACGTGCACGTTCATATCACCTACCAGTTTTTTTTACACTGCTAAAGACTTATACAAATGGCCAAATATATAACAAGTTCTACCATACTGGTCACCATAGAAAGGATCTATTATCACAACAAAAACTCTCGCATCTTTCAAGTTCTCTTGAATTATCCATTAGTCAACCATGAGCAAGCAATAACCTTTGGAATCAAGTAATGCCCGCTATTTTTTCTTTAATTGAAATCCTAAGAAAGTATTCAGAATATTTAGTTACAACTAATGCTAGTATGAATAGGCTTCATAATAGTGATAAAAGTGCCCGTAATCCTAAAAATAGCAGTACTATATATCGAATTGCTACCTGTGAATGGGATAGTCTTAACGAAAATTATATTCAATTAAATAATACTTTACTTAAAAAGTCAATATATGAATATATTGATATTTAACCTTACCTTCCAACCAGTGTTAGATTTGGACATATATAATGTTCAATTAGACATATACAAGTTTATATGTCCAATTAGGTAAATGTCCAACATTGCTTCCAACTGATATTATGAAATAACATAGATTTATAAAAGAATTACAACTTACATTTCCAATAGGCATATATAGGTTAGTGCTTTATATATTAACTAAAGGTTTATATAAAAATTATTAATGATAATTCAATTTTTAAGTATCATCAAGGTAACTATTTAGGAACCGTTAATTATATATGGAAAATTTCAGAAACTGAAGTATTTGATGATGAACAAAGTGAAACTATGAAGGCACACATGCTAGCTAGGTTTCATGAAGAATTACCTCATTATTTTACATGACAAATGCGAAAAAATATATTAAACAAGGTAATAACTATATTACTAATATTTAAATGAATATAATTATATTATTTTTTAATTACTATCTATAACTTTTAGTATTCCTATATCAAGAAAGTCTCACCGGCAGTATTAAGAATGCTTTATTTTGATCTTACCGGTGATGCTTCTATAGCATCAAATGCTATATCTCATGATGTAGATGAAAGACTACGATTAATGCTGACTTTAGCAGATTCTGATATTATATTTGATTTGCGAGCGAACAATGGATTTAATAGAACAAAATTTAATGAATTCTGGGATGAAATGGATGCTTATTTTAATGAGCAGGTATCAAGATTTATATTTATTTTTCTTTATTACAATTTACATTGATATTTTATTATATTAATATAATAGCATTCATTTAATAGAACTTGCTTGCAGTGAAAAAATAGCGTCATGAATCTGTTTTATATATGCCATTAGCCTTATCAGTTTGTGACCTTTGTGAAATCATAATAGAAAGGCTAAAAATTAAATATAATACTTTCCTTCCTCCTACTATTAATATTCCATCGATTGAATGGATTCGCCTTCAGTTTTGTCTTACAAATGCTAATACAACACAATCAATATATTATACAAGGCTGATTTAACGTGAAATTTAAGATGCAAGGTCAAATGCTTCAGAAAAATAATGATGATACATATTATTGTGTAGCACTTTTCTGATACCTTAGAGAATTTTGTATTAAGTATCACAAATGGACTTGTTTAATATCTGCAGATGATAAACATAAAGTTCCCATTAGAGAAGATATTAAAGTTTCTACAGGTATACGAAATAGACATTCTATAGTTTCACAAAATAGCATTTTGGCTGCTTCTGATCATGATTTTACTAAGTTTTCTTTAACACCATCTGTTACATTTTTTATATTAATTCCTAATGACATTTCTGGATCGTTTTATGATGGTCAAGTATTTGTATCTTATAAAGATACAGTCTTTGAACTAAGTACTGCTATTTGACATTCAACTGAATTTTTAGAAGCACTTAACATCCAATATAAACATCAAATAATGCCACCAATTTTGTGCCTTTATACTGATAGAGGTCCAGATCATCGTTATAATTATGGATCAGTACAAATTGCATTGATCTGTCTTTTTCTTTGCGGAGATTTTGATTTGCTTATTGCAGTTCGTACAGCACCTAATCATAATTGGACAAATCCAGCAGAACGCATTATGAGTATTTTGAATCTAGGTCTTCAAGATGTAGCACTCAAACGTGATAAAATGAGTTCTGAATCTGAGGATTTGTTTCATACGATAAATACTTTAATCGAAATACGTAAAAAAGCTCAAGAATTTAGTAGATTAGAATCTGAATTAAAGGAGAGTATAGCAAATGTCCAAGATATGTTAAATAAGCGAATGGAACGACTCTTACTAAAAAATAAGAAATTTCAATATCTTAAATCAGCAAGTAAAGAAAGTATTGCCGAATTATTTGAGATAAAGTTTATTATCATAATCTTTGAATTAACTATTAATATTTTTTATTAATTTTATGTTTATTAACTGTTTTACTTTTGAAATAGTCCATTTTTAATATAGATTCAACTTTAGGAATAGAAAAATCTACACAAACACAAATACGTCATCATCCTGCATTGATCAAATTTATGAATACCCATTGTCATTGACGTGCCTACAGCTTTCAGGTATGCATTATAACATTTTTGAAATTTTATTTTTTTTAACATAATTTAATTTAAATAATATAATAGATAAAAAAAATGTAACAATACTTCCTGTATATATTGTGAACCAATCCGTCTTCCATTACATGAATTTCATAATTTGAGTTTTCTTTCAGATCTGATACCTTCACAAGGTAATCTATTATTTTATATATATAATTTTAAAATTAAGTATTAATTTTTTAAAAAAAAAAATTTAGACAAAGATCATTATACATCTTTTCAAAATGTTTATGGAACTGAAACTACTGAAGAGTATAAACCAACATATATGTAATCCCAAACAAATACAGAACCTATTTCGAAATCTATCTTGGTTGTGGGAAAAATCTGTGATTATATCAATTGTGAATATTGTAAAAAACGTCATTATGTATATCGTGATAAATCTTTGACATATGAAGAACAAGAAGATTATTAACAGGCATTAGAATCATATTCATACTCTTGTGATGCACTGATTTTTCCTGATGATCATTATTTAAAGAAATAATATTTGTACATACACGAATTAATTGTGATTCACTAATCAAAATAATGTATTATTCAAATCGTAAATTAGGAAATTATTTAATTTGTTATTATTGTGGAGAAAATGAAGGTTTAGTAACACCACCTCAATCTTTAAAAGAATGTTTTAAACAAATTTATTCATTATGTGAAGAATGTCAGAATAATCAAAAAGAATTTTATACTAGAGTAGAAATTAAAACTAATAGGCATTCCTCAAAACGTCATAAAAAATAATCAAATCATTTTTTTGTAATACAAATTTGGATTATACAACATTAAATAAAAAATAAAATTTTTTATAATATGTATTATTTTTGATCTCCCCCTCTATTTTTAATTAACTTATATTATGTTAAACAAATAATTGGATTGGTCTAGCCTAATTACACAAACATATCCCAATCTATAATGCTATCTCTTCTTCGAAATTTTGAATTCACTTTTTTAAAGTCGAGAGTATAGTTTGTAAAAAGAATAAAAGACATATTCAATCTACACCATCGACAACTTCAGCATCAGCCCGTAAAACCTAGTCCAGAAGTCTTACAGATACGGAATTACGAGAACTTATACGCCAAGGTTTTGTAGTTGATAAAGTTTAGAAAGTATTAGTGTATGATCAAAAAAGTATGTCTTGGATTGATAACTTTATTTGCTTTTCCATTGAGCTCGAAAGATAAAGCAATGACTCAAGAGAAAAAGCATACCACATCGTAATAAGAGAACTCTTTAGCATGAAGGCATTTCGTGATGCATCCAGTCAAGATGGACTCATTTTTAAGACGGAATATTATGGGAATAAAATAGATAACCGCATAGCAGATTTTATTATTTGAATAGGGAAAGGTAAAAAGGGTGGTTAAATCGTGGATCAGTTGCGATGTTACGTCAAGTGGCAATTACAGAAGGAGTGGTAGATTTGCTTAACAAAAATAAAGGTTTGGAATCTCACAGTCAAATAATCATTTTCTAAAAGATGTTCTCTCAAAGTCATGTAAAATTTTCTTAGTAAAATTTCAGCGAACTCAGTTTGCCCAAAATCACGTGGGTGGCTTAGAAATTAGCATTGCGCAGTAAGTATGATATCTCTGTACTTCTCCTGTAATTTAACTACACCCTATGCTATTTCAGTGGTTTTATTTTTTTAGATGTGATATTTTCGTAATAATGGTTAATATATGCTATTTTTGTAATAACGAAGTTAAGGCCAAAATCTCATGAAATACCATCATATTTTTGCAAATCTATGGGGAAGTAGATCAATTAATAAATAATTAACCCGGTGATGATTGACTTTTTTTGGAAGGTTCTGGCATAATGCATATATTACGAATCTTTAAATTGGTATCATGCAAGGATTTTGTCAATCCAATGTCCCTATTAGAATGAGACAAGAATAGAAATTGCGCCTCTTAATCTACTGATTTACAGATCTTGATCCTATAAAATATAAGGGGTATATATTCTACATAATAAAACAAATTTCCATTTACAGGCGTTAGTAGATTTGTATGAAGCACGAATAGGGACCACCTTTTTCTTATTAGTATTCATAATGCTGATTTCACACTGTTAACGCATCATATATTGTTATTTTAACAATTAGGTACCTATGAGCAACGTAATTATGAAAAATGTAATTATGATAAATACACATAATAAAGCAACATAACTTTTATTAAATCGGGTTAAATTCTCATTTTCATGTGTTGTAGGCATACAGTATCAAATAAAGCTTTCTTCAATGTATTTACGTAAGAAAATTGCATATTATAAAAATCAAAAGCAAAAAAAACTTTGATTCAATCCACCAATAAGCTCACTTCTCAATAAAATTACTACGCATCAATTCAACCAATCATGTCCATTTTCTCTTTTATCAACATTTCGGAAAACATACCATTTCTGACTCTTCCTGCTTCTTTTTTACTCGTTGCTCCAACATAGTTTCCCAAAAATTTTCTTTATTCATGGGAATTGTTATCATGTGGTTATTCTTATATATTAATAAAAAAAAGTCGCTGATATGCTTATTGCACATGATTTAAAATTGATCAATGATCTCTTCGCACATGATTTGAAAATTGCTAATGAAATCAAAGCACATGTATCTGAAATTAATAATACTTTTACTATAGAGATTGGGAAAAATAACGCTAGTTTCACTAAGAAACTTACTGCGATAATTAAAAATTTTAATGCACGTAATAACAGCTTTTCTTTAGAGGCGAATGGATTTTTAGCTTTGCTTAATACCATCACAAATAAACTTAGTGAAGCTGAGAAAACTCTGGAATTGCATCATAATAATTTTTGTGGAATTTCGTCTGAATTTACATTAATCAAAACTTTTAT